CTAGTATTAACATATTATTAGTAAGGAACATTTGTTACAATTAATGATACAGTGGTGGCACAGTATTATTAAATAAAGTTATTACTTTATTCAGACTTCCTTAGTTTTTACCTAATATCCTGTTTTGTTTCATGATGACATCTAGGATACCACATTTCATTTAGATGTCATCTCTATAGGTTCCTCTTAGTTGTGAGAGTTTCTCAGATTTTCCCTTTTTTATGATCTTGAGAGTTTTAAAGAGTACTGGTCAGATATTTTAGAAGATCTTTCATACCTGGGATTTGTCTGATGTTTTTCTTATGATTTCACAGGAATTATTGGTTTTTGGAGGGAGACCACAGAGGTAAAGTGTCTTTCTCATAACATCTTACCAAGGGTAAATAGTGTCAACATGACATATAGCATTTGATGTCAACCTTGATTACCTGACTGAGGTAGTATTTGTTAGGTTTCTGCACTGTAAAGTTAATTTTTTCCTCTTTTCTGTACCATAGTCTTTGGAAGTCATGATACACAGCCCACACTTAGAGAGGGGAGTTACGTACCTCTTCCTTGGGGGCAGAGTAGCTACAGAAATTATTTTGAATTCTTATGCATGGGACATTTGTCTTCTTCCCATTTATTTGTTTATTCCATCACTTATATCAGTACGGATTTATGGATATTGGTTTTGTACTTTGGGTTATAATCCAATATATATATAATCTATTTTATTTATAAAATTATATAAAAATATATATAATTATTATATAGAAAGATAATCTATTTTATTTTGTTGCTCAAATTGTTCCAGCTTTGGCCTTTGGGAGCTCTTTCATTTGATGCTTATGTCCCTTTGATATACCTCCATCATTGTGGCTTTTTTGAGGACTTACTTTCTGGTGCTCCAAGATGCCTGTCCTAGAATCATCCATTTCTGTAAATATCCTTTGTTTCTTTTACTGGAAAATGGTATTAAAAACCAAGAGCTGGGTGCTGGGTGTACTTGTTGCTACTAGAGTGTCATTGTTTCTAGGCCTTTTCAGTGGACAGAGCTGGGGAATATATGTATGTAGACTAACCTATGTACACACATATTTCTACAATGATTTTTCTTCCAAGGAGCAAGTCTCTTTAGAAGAAAAGCTATGATAAACCTAGACAGTGTATTAAAAAGCAGAGGCTACTTTGCTGACAAAGGTCCATACAATCAAAGCTAAGATTTTTTCCAGTAGTCATGTACGGATATGAGAGTTGGAGCATACAAAAAAGGCGGAATGCCAAAGAATTGATGCTTTCAAACTGGTGTTGGTGAAGACTCTTTGGAGTCACTTGGAATGCAAGGAGATCAAATCAGTCAATCCTAAAGGAAATCAACCCTGAATATTCATTGGAAGGCCTGATGTTGAAGCTGAAACTCCAATACTTTGGCCATCTGATGCAAAGAGCTGACTTGTTGGAAAAGACCTTGATGCTGGGAAAGATTGAAGGCGGGAGGAGAAGGGGACGACAGAGGATGAGATGGCATCACTGACTCAATGGACATGAGTTTGAGCAAACTGCGGGAGATCGTGATGGACAGGGAAGCCTGGCATGCTGCAGCCCATGGGATCACAGAGTTGGACATGACTGAGTGACTGAACAACAACAATGATTTCTATATCAGTGTCCATATTAAGTTAAACATGAGTTTATACTGATGTCTCTGTTATTAACACAGTACTACATGGTTCATTTTAGCCTTTCTCTCTTGTTTACCTATAACCTCCTATTACAACAGTAAGAAACCTGGCTCCCATTGTCTGCTGTCCCTTTATTTGTTGAAATTCTGGTATACATGTGGTTTTAGAATTGTTAGCCTGTACCCTTGTGAAAAACAACTTGTGGTAAAGTGCTTATGTAAAATTACTTTCATCATTAGTCCTATAGTGTGTAGTCTAGTAATTTTCAGTTTCTTAGGTCTGAACATCCTTTCCCCATCCCCTTCAGTGAGGTTGTGTCATACTTTGGTAACATAGTTAAATAATTTTGTCACAGTCTACATTCCATCCTGAGAGTCCCAATTTCCTAGATGACTTTTTCATTTGCATACACTCAGGTTTACTCTTTATTTTGTAACATATAGATTTTGTCAAATAGGCAGTGTATCTGCCAGTACAGCATTATATAGCATAGTTTCATGGCCCTAATATATCCTTTGTGGTTCTCCTAGTCAGTCTTTGCTCCTCCCTAACCCCCTGGCACACTCATCTGTTTTCAGTCTCTATAGTCTTCACGTTTTCAGAATGTCATATAAATAAACTAATAGCTTTCTCTGACTTTTTCACTTAGCAATATGCATTTAAGATTTATCCATGTCATTGTATAAGTTAATAGCTTAATCCTTTTAATTGCTGAATAGTGTTCTATAGTATGGATGTACTGCAGTTTGTTTATCCATTTACCTTGAAGGACATCTGAGTTGCTAACAGTTTTTGAAATTATGTGTAAAGCTGCTAATAAACATTTGCATGCAGGCTTTTGTGTGGACATAAATTCTCAAATCAGTTGGGTAAATATTTAGGAACAAGATTGTTGAACTGTGTGATCAGACTAAGTTTAATATTGTAAGAAACTGCCAAACTGTCATCCAAAGTGGCTGAGTACCATTTTACATTCCCACCAGCAATTAACAAGAGCACATGTTGCTCCTCATCCTCACTAGCAATTGGTATTATCAGGGATTTTATATATTCTAATAGGCATGTAGTTATATCTCATTGTTGTTTTAATTTGCAATTCCCTGACAAACATATCATTTGAGCATCTTTTCATATGCTTATTAGCCATCTGTATATCTTCTTTGGTGAGGTATTTGCCATTTTGTCCATTTTTAAATTGTGTTGTTTTCTTATTAATGAGTTTTAAGAATTCCTAATATATTATGGATAAAAGTCTTTTCCAAGATATCAGTCTTGCAAATATTTTCTGTGGCTTGTCTTTTTATTCTCTCAACAGTGTTCTTTACAGAGCAGAAGTTTTTAATTTTGATGAGTTCCAGCTTACCAATTTTTTCTTTAATAGCATGTGTTTTTGGTGTGGTATATAAGAACCCCTTGGTCTAATCAAATGTCATAAAATTTTTCTCTCATTTTTTTCTTTTAAGAGTCATAATTTTCCGTTAAAAGTTTAAGTTTATGATCCATTTGAGTTCATGTTTATATAAAGTGTGAGGTACAGATCAAGGTTCTTTTTTAAATATGTGGATATCCAAATGTTCCAGCACCATTTGTCGAAAAGACTATCTTTTTCCATTAAATTGCCTTTGCATCTTTGTGAAACATAAGTTGACTCTATTTATATTGAACTATTTCTAGTTCTGGTATTTTGTTCCATTGATCTATATATGTGCTGATACAATAATTACCTTGATTTTCATGGGTATATAGTTAGACTTAACATTGGATAGACTGATTCCTCCAAATACGACACTGTTTGCATTACCATAGCTTAATAATTAATACTTGAAACAAGATATTGTGAGTTCTTCAACTATGTTCTTTTTCAAAATTGTTTAAGCTATTTTTGTTCCCTTACTTTTCAATATGAATTTAAGAATCATATTGTTAATATCTAGAAAAAATCCCATTGAGATTTTAATTGGGTTTGCAATGAATCCATAGAACAATTTGGGGGGAGAATTGACCTCTTAACAATATTGAGTTTTCCAATCCATGGATATGGTTCATATATCCATTTATTTAGTTTTTATTTGATATTTTTCTTAAATGTTTTGTAGCTTTCAGTATACATATCCTAAACATATTTTCTTAGTTTCTTTTTTTACCTATTTCATTTTTCTGGCACAATTGTAAATTATACTGTTTTTTAAAAAACATTTGACTTCTGGTTGTTCATTGCTGTGCTGTGCTTAGTCACTCAGTCATGTCTGATTCTTTGCAACCCCGTGGACTGTAACCTGCCAGGCTCCTCTGTCCACTGGGGTTCTCCAGGCAAGAATACTGGAGTGGGTTGTCATGCCTTCCTCCAGGGTATTGGGAATTCCCAACCCAGGGATCGAACCCAGCTCTCCCACATTGCAGGTGGATTCTTTACCATCTGAGCCAGCAGGGAAGCCCAAGAGTACTGGAGTAGGAAGCCTAGCCCTTCTCCAGGGGATCTTCCTGATCCAGGAATGGAACCAGGGTCTCCTGCATCGTGGACAGATTCACCACCTGAGCTCCCAGAGACCTTGTTAAACTCATATATTAGTTCTACTAGCTTTTTTGTAAATTCCATGAAATTTTGTACATAGAAAATCATGTTATCTTTGAATAGAAATAATTTTGTTTCTTCCTTTATATTCCATATACCTTTTATTTTTTCTTGCATTATCACACCAGTTAGGACTTCCAATATGGTACTAATATGAGTAGTGAAAATAAGGATGCTTGTCTTTTCCATGATCTTAAGGGAAAAGTATTCAATCTTTTATAATAAGTGTGATTATATCTATAGATGCTTGTCATTAGGTTAAAGAAGTTCTTTCTAGTTTTAGTTAGCTGTGAGTTTCTTTTTAAGTTTTATTGAAGTATAACTTACATACCATAAAATTCAGCTATTGTAAGTATGCATTTCAGTGTTTTTAGTACATTCATAGTGCTATGCGGCCACCACCAAATCCTGTTTTTGAGTATTTACCACCATCCCCCAGTCCTAATTCCTTGAATCCCTTTGTAGTCAGGCCCTGCTCCCATCTCCAATCCCAGGCAAAACTGCTTTCTTCTCTAATAATTTGTCTTTTTCAGGATATTTTACATAAGGAGCACACTACTTCTATTTCCTGAATTTTGCTTCTTGTGGTAGTGGGTTTCCCCACTCCCAGTGCTGTCAGATCTATCAGTGTTCCTAGGTGAGCAAAGGGAGTCTTCAACTACAAAATACAAAGACTGCTTTCCAGGTAGAGAAAGACTCAGTGGCTGAGTTGTTGCAAGCACGGTTGCCTGGCCAGGGACCCAAGCCGAACAGTCATCGTCAGAATGTCGGGCAAAGATGAAATTGAAATCTTTCCCTCACGAATGGCACAGACCGTCATGAAGGCTCAGTTAAAAGGAGCACAGACAGGTCCAAATCTCCTGAAGAAAAAATCTGATGCCTTAACTCTTCAGTTTCGACAGATCCTTAAGAAGATAATAGAGACTAAAATGATGATGGGTGAAGTGATGAGAGAAGCTGCTTTTTCACTTGCTGAGGCCAAGCTCACAGCAGGGGACTTCAGCACCACAGTTAGCCAAAATGTAAATAAGGCCCAAGTGAAGATTGGAGCAAAGAAAGATAATGTAGCAGGTGTTACATTGCCAGTATTTGAACATTATCATGAAGGAACTGACAATTATGAACTGACTGGTTTAGCCAGAGGTGGGGAACAAACAGTTGGCTAAACTGAAGAGGAATTATGCCTGGTGGAACTGGCTTCACTGCAGACTTCCTTTGTTACTTTGGATGAAGCTATTAAGATAACCGACAGGCATGTAAATGCTATTGAACATGTCGTCATTCCACAGATTGAATGTACCCTTGCTTATATCATCACAGAGCTGGATGAGAGAGAGCAAGAGGAGTTCTACAGGTTAAAGAAAATACAGGAGAAGAAAAAGATTCTCAAAGAAAAGTCTGATAAGGACTTGGAGCAACAGAGGGCAGCTAGAGAGGTGATGGAGCCTGCTAATCTCCTGGCTGAAGAGAAGGATGAAGATCTTCTGTTTGAATAAGATTTCCTGCTCTGGTTCTTTCAGAAGGCCTAACATGTCAGCATTTTAATTCATGGTGTGTAGGTTTGTTATGTGTGGCTATTTATTTTTTGGCTTAAGAATTTCACCAGTTGTAAAATTTCCCTGGATGTGTGTTTATGGGATCTACCTTTTCAGAATCATAATTAAGCAACAATTAATCACCAATGAAATTTATAGGACCTGTCCCAAAACCTGTAGAATTTATGCTGCAGAAGTGTCACCCTGCTTTAATTATACATCTGTTACAAGTCATCTGCTTACTGAACATAATAAGAAAATTCCTTTAGGAAGCAGCAGTGATCTCAGGCCAACACATGTTTGTAGGCCAGCTACTCTGAAGCACCCTTTGTTCCTACCTGCTCACACACCTTGGCACCATTGTCTGAGATTGCTACAGCCATTCTTGTGTTAGTTACTATGGGACATCTCTCCTTAAGCTTTAGGAAAGCCTTCACTTATTTTTTCCTTGAATAACAGGTCTCTGTCTTGTGTCTCATGGGAACAGTTCTGCCAATTCAAATGTGACTATGATATAAACAGTAAAATGATTTAAAAATGAAAAAAAAAAAGAGAATGCTTTCCAAACAGGGTCACTTATTGTGGTGGGATCACCCCTGCTGGTGCCACTGGCCATCTCTAGGTTAGAGAAGAAACTCTCTGGCCCACAGAAATAAAGATTATTTTCCCTGGCTACCTTTTATTTTTTAAGTTCCCACTTGATAACCCTTACCATTTCCACTGGGCCTGACTGGAGTTTTCAGCATAAAATGCCCATTTAATCTGGAAGAAACTTGAACCTACCTGAGCCACCTTCATCCAATATGTTTGGGTCAGGAGATGCCAGGCTTGGTTGCCTTCTATTGCTGAGTGAAGAGTTGTAAGATGCCCATCTGCCATATCTTTCCTCCAGTACTGGGGGCTTTAGCCAGTCTACTTTCCTCTATCATTCAGAGTCCCCCTATGATTGCTTCTTGTGTCATATTGTAGTTGTTCTTACAGAGAGAGGCAGGGAGAAATGAGTCCCTGCCATCTTGTCTGATCAAAGTCCCTAGATAATTTACAATTTAACTATTGATATATTAGGGCTTAAGTCCTTCATTCTGTGTGCTTGGTGGGAGTGGTTCATGTTCCTTTTATTCTCTCCACTCTCTGTTTTCTTTTTCATGCTTTCCTATGGGTTACTTCAAGATTTTTTAGAATTTCATTTTGAATTAGCTAGTGTCTTTTTTAGTGCATTTCTTCATATAGATTTTTAAAGTGGTTGCTGTAGATATTACATAATACTATACATATTACATATTATATAACTTATCAGTCTATAGGTTGTGTAGACATTTTATTAGTTCCAATGAGGTGTGTGTGTGTGTGTGTGTGTGTGTGTGTATGTGTGTGTGTGTATGTATGTGTTTGTGTGTGCTCAGTGCTCAGTCATGTCCAATTCTTTGCTGCCTCATGGACTGTAGCCCGCCAGGCTCCTCTCTCCATGGAATTTTCCAGGCAAGAATACTGGAATGGATTGCCATTTCCTATTCCAAGGGATCTTCCCAACCCAGGGGTTGAACCCATGTCTCCTGCATTGGCAGGTGGATTCTTTACCACTAGCACCACCTGGGAAGCATGGCTCTTTAAATTTAATAAACTTCTCCCATTCATAAAATAATTTTATCAACTATTTCCTCTATATACCTTGAGACTCATATCAGACAATATTATAATTTTTATTTCAACTATCAAACATGATTCAGAAAAGTCAAGAAGAGAATGAAAGCTTATTACATTCACCTATAATTTTGTTCTTCCGTTGTTCTTTCTTCCTTTCTGATGTGCCAAGATTCCTTTTTAAAATATTTCTTTTATGCATCAAGAACTTCCTTTAGGCACAACCTAGGCCTACAGATGAAAAAATTCTGTTAGTTTTCCTTTGTCTGAGAATGTCTTGATTTCTGCTTCACTCCTGAATGATATATTCACAGCATACAGAGAGTGGCCTATGATTTTCCATTCTTGTCATTTCACTGTCTTCCTTTTCCTTTGACATAGGATTCAAAGTCCTTCCAGGGCCTGTCTAGCACAACTGGAAGTATAATTTTCACTGTGTTCTATATTGTGCTCCAGGACTGCCATTCACATATGAGAGAGTACTTCTGGTATTGTGTAAATTGTGGTTTCTCAGTCCACTGCTGAAAAGAAGAGGGATTAGAAGGGCTTGATGAGTGTGGTGCAGATTTGAACAGGCACTGAACAAATGGGAGAGGAAGCTGACAAACAAGATAGCTGAGTGGTGCCAGACCCAGCTAAAAATAAAAGCCATTTGTTATGGTGACTTCAATCTGCATGGCTGTGGTTTTTGCGATCTAGAATAGAAGACATTTGGAGACAATAGTGAGAGGATGTTTAATGAAAGCTTTTGATGTTTTGCTCTTCTATTTCCTCTAATTGTCAAGGTACCTACATTATCTACCTTCATAATAGGAATCAACAGAAACATCCCAAACCACAGTTAACAGCATTTGTGGACATATCAGAGTATATCAGGCAGCAAAAAAAAAAAAAAAAAAAAGCCCTGCTTGTCTGAGTGAGTCCTTGAAAATAGATGTGGGTATTGGTATCACTCTTGCATCCCTTTCAAATCCCCAAGGCTGGTAGATTACTACCTGGGAACACTGTATCCTCAACAGTGCTGCTTATTTCAAAGAGTATCAAGATAAAGCCTTGATCATAGCAGCAAATGGAACTGATCAACAGGTTCTATAGTATCTGGTTCTCTTTCTCCCACTCCTCAAACACATTGTGGCTGACATAGACTGAGAGATAAAGTAAAACCCGTATATGTATATGTATGTACACATACACATAAAAATTGAACTTAAGAGTATCAAAGACTAACAAAGAATATAAAAAATAAAATTCTCTACAAAGGAAATAAGTAAATTTATAACAGACTTCTTAGTAGCAAAGTTAAATATTACAATCAAGTAATACTTTTAAGAGATTGGGTCTATCATGTTTTAACCTATAATTCTATATCCAGTCATTATTCATTTAAATATAGTAGAATAATAAATATATTTGGGGGCATACAATGTCTCAGAAGTCTTGCCACACAAAGATCCTTGTTGAAGACAATTTTGGAGGAAGTTTTCAAATAAGAAAAAAAAAGAGATGCTTCAAGAAATATGGGAAGTAGGGATGATTAAATATCATGATATAGTTTATTGCTGATTTGAAAAATTAAAAATATTGAGCAGAAAGAAAAAGTAACCCCCAGTAACCCAGAACTAAAGTTTTAAACATTATCAGAATGATGGAGTAGGTGTGATAGAACCAAAAGACATAAGAACATTTTCAAATACTTGTACTGTTAAGAGGAAAATATATTGATAAGTTAATAGGAGTAAATAAACCCAGGTGTTAAGGGAAACCACAATAAGAACAAAAGTAGGATGTATAACTTCTAAACCGGGAAACGAAAATTCCATCTATCCTGTAGAAAGCAAGAAAGAAGAAAAAGATAACTGAGTGAAAAAGGATTTCCAATGTGGATTTTGTATAGGTGTTGAAAAATACACTGTGTGGTCATGGGTGACAGTGGCTCAAGTGAAATGGAATTGAGGCAGTCAACAGAACTGAGAATCTAAGGTGCTGGGTGACATGCCTGCATGGATCCCATTGCCAGAAATGAGAAATTTTATCCTCCTTTGAGACTTCTGTTGCTGGAATTTACCATTCTCTATCCTCTATCAAACCGTATAATTTCTGGGGAATCATAAAATTAACAGATTTTACCAGAGAGGGATACATGGAAAGTACAATCTTCAGGGGAGTACTAAGTCACAGTTAAGGAGAGAAAAATAAATAAGGGCAACAAAGAACATTTTCACAGTCTGAGCTTGCTATTCTGTGCAATGGAATTCCAGGGAGAACTATAGAAAAAAATCTTAAAAGCAGGAAATCAGTAATGAGAAGTGGATAAGGAATTCAAGATTAGAGTATAAATGTAGGAAGAGTGTAGGTGATGATGTGGGGATGTGCTTGCCTTTGAGTAGTGTCTGTGTATTAAAGGATGAAAAGTGTGGATGAAATTGGCTGTCCACAAACTCTCCAACATTCATGTGCATAGTTTTGGAGTCAGAATGAGCTGAATTGTCAGATGGAAAATAACGTGTTACCAGCAACCCTGACTGCATCACCACCACTTCCTCATTCTAGTTAACTTGCAATATTAAGAGCAAAGATAAACCCCTCTCCAGCCCTAGTCTTCATTCCATCTCTTTGCTTTTTCTCTGATCTCCCACTTCTCTCTTACATCCCTGTATCACATTACTATTAATACTTACTACATTTTGGACAGTAAGGTGGCTAGATCAGATGTCAACCATACTGTAACCATTGGTCAACCCATTGGATTTTAGACAGAGGTTGCCACCTTGTGGTTGAAGACCAATATAAGCAAGAAAGGACCGGTAAAACAAATGTGACTTGAATTTTGGGTCTCACACTTGAGATGAATCAGAATTATCTGGAAGGCTTGTTAAAACATGTGCTGGGCCCCACCCCTATAGGTTCTGATTCAGTAGGTCTGTATTGAGAGTAGAAAACTTGCATTTCTATCATGTTCCCAGGTGACGCTACTGTTGCTCCTTCAAGAACCACAGTTTGAAAACCACTGCTTTAGATAAACCTCATTCAGGATACGTAGACCTCCATTTGGCCATCCAAGATTGGTAAAATTGGAGTTTAAACTTAGGTATGTTCAACTCCAAAGTACATGAACATTTCACTACACTGTTATTAGGAAGTGCAGATGGTGCTGCTTGGGCAACAATCTCGTTCATATTCTGTATATCTGGAAAGGGTAACCACCTAATAAAGGAAAGAATAGTATCCATTCCTTCTGCATAGATTAAATGAGCCATGTTATAATAATTTCCCTATTGTTGGGCATTTAGATTGCTTCCAAATTTTTACAATTATTGAAA